ATTAAGTTAAAATATCAAAAGCCCTTAGAAGAGTACCTGGCATATAATAAACACTCCATAGATGTTTGCTACTGAGCAATTAATAATCCTACTGTGCCATTATTTAAGGAGGTGCTACCATTCTGCCCCAAGGCTTTATTTTTCTCCAAATACAAAGACTTTCTTGGGCTTTCAAGGTAGCGTGTTTTGATGGAAAGATGCTGGGTTTGGGAACCAGAGATAATGGAGTTGGAATCCTGGCTTCTTTCCCTTCCATCCTTGTGACTTCAAGCAACTCCCTTTGCCACTCTCACCTTGACTGTGAAGAATTTTGTTTCTATATTGGAGACCTAGCAGTGTTCCTGGCAAGGAACTGCGCAGTGGATACTGGTTTCTCTCCCACTTCAGGGCATTAGGACTCAGCACAGGCTAGAAGGTGAGGGTTTGGGTCATTCCCCAGGAGCGGGGTGGGAGGTGGAAGAATCCAGAGAGAAGCACACATTTGGTTCCCAGTGCAGCCTTGCCAGCTTCTCGAAGGCCTACCCCAGGGCCATCCCAATGCCTAGCCCCTGGCAGGCTCCCACATGCCAGGCCAGCATTCCTGCACTTCCAACCTTGCTCATTCAAGAGCCAACACTTGCACCACCTCCTCCTGGAAGCTTAGAACCTTTCTCCAAACTAGGATTATTCCCTCCTAAGACCTCTCACATCTCTTAGCTTGTGCCTTTTTTGCAGGTGCTTTGATTCCCCTTGTACTGAGCTGCTTCTATTCTCTTTAGGAGACTGGCAACTTCCTAAAGGTAGAGGTTGGTGTAATGGGGGTGGGAGCATTGGCAGATGGTGAGATGGGGACATTGGAGTTGTGGCTTTATCATGGAACAGTTCCAGGGTTTAGTTCCTAGTCCCACCTCTCACTAAGCCAATATCCTTGGATAAGGCACTTAACATCTCTGCTTTTCTTTTCCTTCCTTAGCATGAGTTGGGAGATAAGTGGCCACCATTACTGAGTGTCTACTCTACCCTGCTCTGCACCTGTGACTCTTCAGAACAAAGAAGCTTGGTTCTTCTCCTTCTGCCCATTTTGTAGGGGAGGAAACAGTGGAAACTCAGAGGTGCAGATATTTGCCTAAGGATATACAGAAGATAAGGAGCAGAGCTGACATCAGAACTCAAGCTTGCAAATGTGTATGCGGGCCACCATGCCGCATCTGCCACCTCTCTCACAGCACTGCTGGGGGAACAGGGGAGGCATTGGAGGTGGCGGGCTTTGCCCTACTACGCTTGGCATATGCATTTTAAATAAGGACTTTGATCTGGAAGCAGGATAGGGTATTTATTGCTTCAACTCAGCTTGATTTGGGCTCTTTTGTCCCATAAATGACACCAACCCTCACCAGGCCTGAAGACCTTGTCTGGAAGAGAAGGAGCAGTGGTGTGAAGTCAGAAGAGGCGCGATTACCTGCCAGCTTTGCCTCTGTGTTCTCTGCCTGAGCCTCAGGAATCACATTTCAGCCTTGGTTTTGCTATGAGAATTTGGAAGCAGCATGTGTAAAAACCCTAGCTCAGACTGGGCACTGGATGGACATCAGCAGCGAAGATTCACTGAGTTTGCCTCAAGGCAGGCAGTGGAACAGGTACATTAATGCATATCCCAAATCCTCACAGCCACCCAGAGGTAGACCCTGTTACTGTTATCACAGTTGCCCAGTCAGAAAACTGAAGTTCTGAACAATGCAAGAACGGCATTGTGAGTGGATTTTCAACCCAGGTGAGTTGGCAGACATGTGTAAACGCTAGATTTGATCATTTAGTTTATAACACAGCACAACCCACGAGCTTGGAATGTTTACATGAGAATCCAGAAATGCAGACTCAGGGGCAGGCATTGCCTGGGTCCATGTCCTTTCCCCCGGGCTGTCTGCCCCAGGCTGTTTATAATGTTGCTGGAGTTTGCTTAATGCCAAGTGAGTAACAGACTGTTCACCCGCACTTGTTTTGTGACTCTCACTTTTAAACCGGGTTGGAGTCTAACCCGATAAGGCCCAACCCAGTAAACAGCCTATGGAATGACAAACATTTCTGTTAGCCTCAGCAACGGCTACACATGATGCCTCCCATTGGCAGAAACTGCCCTTTTGTAAAAGAGATGGTAGTTTGGGAATGACATAAACAAGGGTAGAAAAAGTCAATTCCTGCAAAGCTTTTTTTTTTTTTTTTCTGAGACGGAGTCTCACTGTCTCCCAGGCTGGAGAGCAGTGGCACAATCTTGGCTCACTGCAAGCTCCGCCTCCCGGGTTCACACCATTCTCCTGCCTCAGCCTCCCGAGTAGCTGGGACTACAGGCACCCACCACCACGCCTGGCTAATTTTTTGTATTTTTAATAGAGACGGGGTTTCACCACATTAGCCAGGATAGTCTCGATCTCCTGACCTTGTGATCCGACCACGCTGGCCTCCCAAAAGCTTCCCCCCCCCCATCTTACTGTATCCTTTCCTTTTACATGAACTGGCATGTTGGAAGAGCATTACAATGACAGGTGCCTGGGTTTAGGCTGCGTGACATCAGGCGAGTCACTTATCATCTCTGAGTATTACCATCTTCAAGAGGAATAATTACACATATCCACCTGAGTGGTGAGGAATAATAAGACAGAAAAAAGCAAAGACAGGCTGACAGATGGGCAATGCTTGATTTATGTTAATTTTTTTCCTTTCCTCACTGTCAGGGGTAATTTTATCTGTTTCTTTTTCAGAAATGCATTTGAGTAGAGATGTGCGTTTGTAAGAGGTTGTTCCCGAGAATGTGACAAAAATCGCTGTATGCCACCTGGTTTTCTTCTTTGTGAGTCTATATCTAGGTGCGGACTAGATTGATGCTCTGTGGTATTATTTAAACCAACAGCACTTATTGAATACCATTGTAAGTTTGGCCTGATGGAGCCAGGAGCTGGGGAGTTGAGGAAAACCTGGTACTGCGGAAAGGAGCTCACATCCCAGTTGGGGAGGCAGGAAGCTCTGGCCTGAATAAACCAGGGATTGAAGAGACAAGCACAGCCTGTGTATCCCCAGGGAGTTATTCCTCCAGACTGTGGGGCTCTGGGGATACTTTCTGGAGGAGATGGTATGTTCAGAGTCCCCCAAACATGAGTGAGGCTGCTACGGGCAGAGATAGGGAGAAAGGCATCCCAGGCAGAGGGAACAACAAAGAAATGGCTGTGCTGTGCAATTTGTGAAACAGTCATGGCGAGCAGTGGCTCTCAAACTCGAGTGAGCATTGGAATCGCCTGGTAGGTGCATTAAAACACAGACTACTACACCCTGTGTCAGCACCAGAGCTCCCAACTTGGGCAGTCTGGAGAGCAGCCTATGAGTTTGCATTCTAACAAGTCCCCAGGCACTGTTGCTGCTGTTGGTCCACACAGGAAGAAGACATTGTAGAGGAAGCAGATAGGTTGGATGGAGCCAAAGCATGGAGGAATGCAAGCACCCGGCTGGTGCATCACTCACTGGCTATAGCCACCAATGTGTTCATTCAGTCCTTTACTGAGCAAGCAGCACCTCTGAGCCCTACTCTGTGCTAGTACCGTGATGGACACTAGGTATACAGCGATGAATACAAGAGTCTGGGGTTTGCCATATCTTTACCCTGCTAGGGTTCTCACAGGAGGATGGATGATATCCTATGTGACGTCACAGGCTGATGACCCTCTGGGCATCCAGGCACAGAAGACAGGGGCTCCGGAGGTGAAAGTTGCCTTCAACCTCATGGCCCTTTAACAAAAGGCCTCGTCTTACCCATGTTAAATTCAGTTTAGTTTAAATGTTTCTTCCTACATACTGAACTATCACCTAACTGGATGTGTTAACAGGCTATAACCAGCTCTAGTACCAATCTCTGGGTTTCAGCCAATCAAAGACGGCCAACTGTTCAAACCATGTTCAAACAAGTCAAACGCGAAGCTAGAACCCATCCAACTGTTTCTGTACCTTACCTCCATTTTCTATATGTCACTCTCTTTCTTCTGCCCATAAATCATCCTTGACCACGCGGTAGCCTGGAAGCCTCTCTGAACCTATCCTGTTTTGGGGATTGCCCAATTCAAGAACCATTTTTCACTCAATTAAATTCTGTTACATTTAGTTTTTCTAAATGTAAGGTTTTTCTAAGGTTTTTCCTTTAACGCCCAAAACACCCTGTGGTGTTTAAGGGAAGAATTGCTGCAGAGCTGACTTTCCTAATAATGAGGGTGATTGAGTCTATTTGTTGCAATATAGGGTCGGCTGCTCCAACTGAGACCAAAAACAATGTGATGGAAACAAAAGAGTATTTTATTTCTCTTTTCATGCAATGGTCTGGTCTTGGGAAATTTCTGGAAGAAATGTTTGTTTCATCGGGGCCCTGGCTCCTTCCTCTGTACTTCTCCACCCTCCCTGGGGTGTTGCTTCATTCACAGGGTTGGCGATGATTTACAGCCAGGTGTCCCAATGCATAACTCGTGGGCATGTTGCATGGAACACAAGGAGAGTAGTGGTCTCTGGAGCCATGCAACACAGTGCTGCCTCTGTGAGGAGAGAAACAGGAAAGGAGTGTGAAGAGGACATCCTTTCCCTTTTAGGGCTCACCCTGGAAGCTGTGCACCTCACTTCTGCTCACAAACCACAGACCAAAACCATCCCATGGCCTTAGATGGCTGCAATGGAGGTTGGGATGTGTGATCTTTATTCTCGGCAGTCTTGTATTCAGCTAAACCCCAGCCATTTAATGAATGCAATCTATTCTCTTTTACTTCATTCTTTTAGATTAAGTTTTGTGTAGCCATTCTCTCTAAGGTGTCCTACTCCATCATCTTGCCTCCCTCCTTTGTTTATTGAAGAGATACAGATATTTCCTTGTGGACAATTCTTTTACCCCATCAAAATTCTCTGCAAACCTTCTAGAATTAGATCCATTATTCTCAATTCTAACTTTTCAGCAGAATCACAGGAGGGGTGAGGATGAAGATAGGGGAGGCTCTTAGTACTGATGTTCCAGCCTTTTTGCCAGAAAAACAAATTTAATTTGTTTGTGGTAGGGTTGAAACATCAGGAATTTTGTAAAGCCCCCACTCATTATCCAGGTTTAGTTCTTCTTCTCCCTTAAAGTATTAAGTTTCGGCTATTGGTCAGTGAGCTGAAAGATGAGCCATAGGCAACAGGAGGTGTGCAAAGGTACCATTGAAACGTTGAGTACTGGGTGCACAAAAACTGAGCCTGATATAAACACTTAGCACCCACAAGTGCTTGCCACACTGCCTCTGAAATGGAGCCTCCATCCTACTGGACCTCGGTGTCAACTCTTTGATAATTGATCACCAATTGTCGTGTGAAGATTCACTCCACAGCAAGTTTCTCTGTAGGGGGAGGGGAAGGGAGACAGGTTTAAACAGCAATGTCAAAAAGAAGGGGGGAGGAAAAAAGATATTCCAGGTGGTTATCTGGAGCTATAATTTAACTTCCTTCTACAAGGTCGTCTGCCCTTAATTATATAGGTGGGTTTTCTGTATTTATTTATGTATGTATATGCATCCATTTAATTGTCTGTGTTTATAGGTTAATACCCCAAATGACCCTTTATTGGGATAAGACAGAATCATTCTTCGATTCCCTGCATCCCTATTCACATCCCTGTTCCTCCAGATGCTGACTTGCTTGTTCCCTCTTCCTTGAAACATTCTCCTCAGGCTCCACGTGCACAGTGAGGAAGCAGGCAACATGGCATCAGCCAGGTAGAGAATCCATCTGCATAATAAAAGATTAGGGTGGGGAAGCCAGCTTCTTCACAAGCTATGCAAATGGCACACCTAGTCCAAACCAGTTCTTCCCTTGCTACGCAAATGGCCTGCCTGGTACAACCAATCCTTTGTGTCCTATGTAAATCAGACACCACCCCCTCAAGCTCATCTGTAAAACCTCCTGCAGTTTGCCACAGACTGGAAGACCCACTCGGGAGCCCACTCTCTGCAGTAGAGAGAGCTTTTCTCTTTCTTTCACCTATTAAACATCTGCTCTTAACCTCACTCCTTGTGTGTCCACATCCTTGATTTCCTTGGCATGAGGGAACGAACCTTGGATATTACCTCAGATGACGATGATACTTCATCCTCACTGGATGTGAAAGATGAAGAATGCAGCCCAGACTGCTGCTGGCAGCCACTTTGTGATCAGAGGGGAATGAGCCTGTGGATGAAGCCAACACAGTGCAGGGAACGATGGAGACATGGAAGAAACTGGGCCTTGTTGATAACTGTGGAGATGCTGAATCAAGCCTTTCCTGAAGCCCTTTCTAACTGCCAAGATTTTCAGATCTTACATCAACAAATTCCCTTCATCGTTTAGTCTGGTTGTTGTATGTATATGCTGTTTCTTGTAGCTAAAAACATTGTAGCTTTTGTGAGATATTATAGTAGGTTCTGGAACATAGAAGATACATGCTCAAGTTAGCTACCATGTGCCCTGGAGACTGCCAGGCTCAGAAAACCATGCATGCCACCAACACATCTGTCCCTCAGCATTTTTATGTAGACAAAATCAAGTTAAAATGAAAACCATAGATGGTCTTAAGTGGGCACAGAAATCCTTAGCCTCCTTCAGTATTATGGAGGGGGCTATCTCACCTTTTTTTACTTTCTTGAAGGTAGAGCTGATTGGGGTGGACAGTGGTGCTAGTATATAAGCCTTCTGCTTTTTTCTCTTTCTCTTTTTATCATTTATTTATTTATTTATTTATTTTTGGCTGCTTCTCTGAGTAACTGCCCAAGATTGTAGAACATGTTATTAAGATGGGGTGATTACCAAAATTAGCTCTAACTTCACATGGCCCTGCAAGAATTGGGTGAAATGTGAACCCTGGAGATAGGCATCTCTTTCTCAAGAGTCAGCTACATGTACACTGGTCGGAATATGATCCTTCACTTCGTCCAAGGGTAGGAAGCATTAGTCCCTTTGTAATGATGATTTTTGTTTTTGAGGGTGGGTGGGTAATTACTTTTGGTGTCCATATTGTTTTATTGAAAATGAAAATATCTTTTATTTCCTGATAATGCGTGATCTCAATCAGCCTTTACTGTGAATTATCCCATCACTATATGCAGCTTGCATGATCTTTGAAATCTTGCACAAAAATAACTTGGGGTTATAAATTCAGTCACATTTGAATTGATTGTGGTGTAGATGAAGGTGAATTCAAACTGGGTCTCTGTATAGCTGTGTGGCCTTGGGAAAGTCACTTAGCTTCTCTGAGCCATTGTTCTTCCTGAGGAATGGGGAAAAGAGTTGTATTAGGCCAAGTAATGGCCCCAAAAGATAATCTGGGTCTTAAGCCCTTAAACATGTGAATGATACTTTATATGGCAAAAGGGATTTTGCAGATGTGGCCAAGCTAAGAACTTTGTGATGGACAGATCATTCTGGATTATTTAAGTGTGCCCTAATTGTCATCACAAGTGTCCTTATAATGCAAAGGGGATTTGGCAGAGAAGAAAAGACGATGTGGTCATAGATACAGGGATCAGAGTGCTGCGGCCACATGCCATAGAGTGCCAGCAGCCACAAGAAGCTGCAAGAGGCCAGGAACAGATTCTGCCCTAGACCCTCTGCAGGGAGCACAGCCCTGAAGCCACCTTGATTTTGGCACAGTGAAATTGATTTCTAAACTTCTAACCTCCAGAACTGTGAGAGAATACATTTCTGCAGTTTTAAGCCACACAGTTTGTAGTAGTTTGTTATAGCAGCTCTCGAAAATGAATGAAAGCATCGCCAGGCAGAGTTAGAATTCATGAGAGAACACCCATCCCCCGAAAGTCTACTGCTCTGAAATAACACCTAGAATATGTCCGAAATTCAGATTCCCAGGTTCCACCCCAGAAATACAAAACCAGAATGTTTAGGGGGTGGGCCCTGGGCAGCTGCATTTTTAGCAAGCTGCCGGGTGATGCATGTGATTGGGGAGCTCCAGTTCTTTCATCAACATCAAGCTTGGCCCTCCCAGCAGGCCTGGAAGACAATTACCACTGAAGAACCCAGGGAAGCTGGAAGTAAAGGAAATTTCCAAGGAAGAAGGCTGGATGGGTACAATATCTGGGCATATAAAGTTCTTTTCTATATTTTCATCTGCATATATAGAATGAAGACACATTGTACATACATTAAAATAACCTAAACAGTATCTGCTCTATAGAAGAAAATAAGAGAAAATAATCCACACTTGCCACTTGAATTATGTGGGTGGTTTTGCTTGCTCTTCCTTCCCTCCATGAGAGTGTACCCCCAGTGGGTGTGAAACAGAGATGAGAGCCTATTCCCTCAGTTCCCAAGTGCTCCCATGGTGTGGGACCTTTCACAACACCAGTGCCGCTCCAGGATTTAGCCAAGCGTATTTTGATAAAATGTGGCATAAACCATTTTTGCTATGTATTGTGTATAACTGTGCAGAGCCATTGAACACTTCTTCAGTAAATATGTATTGAATATCAAGGATGAGCCAGGCTCTGGTATAGGTGGAACAAAGTGGCAAAGACCCTGTCCTTAGGGAGCACACATTCTAACAGGGGGAGCCAAGAAACACAAGGAATAAAGAAGGAACTAAATGGCTTGTTAGTTGGAAGTTAGTTACAAGAAAAATAAAGCAGACTAAGGGAGATCTGATGACTCAGGTTGAAGGGAGGTTTCAGTGATCCATTACCACATAACAAACCCCAAATGTAATCATTTAAAACAACACCAATTTATTATTTTCTGTAATTCTGTCATCTGGGCTGGGCTCAGCTGAGTGGTTCTTCTGCTCCTTGTGGAGCCTGCTGGTGCTGCACCAACTGAGTGGGCATGTCCTCTCACTTGTCTGGCACCTAACCTGAGATGGCTAGAACAGTTGGGGGTTCTTGGGCATCTCTTTTCAAGTGGCTTCTCCACCAGGCTTGCTGGGGCTTCCTCACAGCATGGTGGTCTCAGGAGTGGCAGATTTCTTACATGGAAGCTGGATTTCAAGAGGGAGGAAGGGAAAGCTCTCAATATGAGACATGGGCAGGTACAGTGTTATTTCCACCATGTGTACAGATGGATGGAGTAAAAATCCAGCCCAGAGTCAAAGGGTGGGAAAAACCTTGCTGCCTTTTGCTATAAGAAGTAGCATGCACATACAAGGAGGGAAGGTGTTTGAGGCAGCTACTGTTGGAAACTACCCTTCACAGGGAGGGGGACTCTTTTATATAGGAAAGGCCCCACTGATAAAGGTGCACATAAGGCAAGGCCAGAAAAAAATAAGGGAGACAACAATATGGATATGTAGGAGGAAATAATTCTAGGCAGGCTGGGCATGGTGACTCAGGCCTGTAATCCCAGCAATTTGGGAGGCTAAAGCGGGCAGATCACTTGAGGTCAGGATTTCAAGACCAGCCTGGCCAACATGGTGAAACCCCATCTCTACTAAACAAATACAACAACAACAAAAAAATTAGCTGGGTGTGGTGGTATGCACCTGTAGTCCCAACTATGTGGGAGGCTGAGGCAGGAGAATCGCTTGAACCCAGCAGGCAGAGGTTGCAGTGAGCCAAGATTGCACCACTGCACTCCAGCCTGGGCAACAGAGCAAGACTCCATCTCAAAAAGTAACAAAATTCTTGGCAAAGGGAATAGCAGGTGCAAAAGGCCCTGAGTCAGAAACATACTTGGCATAACCGAGGACCAGCACAGAGTCCAGTGGGGCTGGAGCAGAAGATGTGAGGCCAAAGGTGTGGAGATGATGTTGGAGAGAGTCTAGGTTGGCCATGGGGCATTGATGGTATTGGTGCATATGGAGTCATAGGGGCTACGAAAGGACTTGGTTTTAAACCTGAGAAGATGTGGTGTAGAGTGACCAGCTGACCCAGTTTGTGCAGGATGAAAAGGATTCCTGGTATATGGGAATTTCCATGCTACAACCAGGAAATAGACAAAAGGGAAGAGGCAGGAAGACTCAAAATATGAGGTGACTGCAGTACCCCAGCTTTGGGAAGATGACAACTTGGCCCAAAGAGGTAGTCATGAGGCAATAAGAACAGACATGGGCAATCCCTGCATGGTGTGGTTTCCCCCAACTGTGTGGCATGGGCAATTTACAAGCTTCCCACGGGTAATTTTGATTATACAAGACTTCGATATAACCAGTTATAATTTGACTGCAGCATAAAGCACAACTTCCTTGATGCTATATGTTCAGCAATGTCCCCTGGGTTCCATTCTGTCCAGCAGCCACAGGCAAATGGGCAGGGGTTGAGTCCAAGGGGTCCCCATCATGAGGCTTCCCCCTGCCCCATGGCAATGTAGAATCTCCTCTGCCAAGCTGGTTTCAACTTCCTCCCACTCCACAGCTGTTGGGCCTTAAACTCGAGCCTTAAACAAGAAACACAGCACTGCCAGGAAAGCCCAGGAAACTGGCACAGGCTCCCTGAACTTGGTGATTCCCCTGCTGGTTTTCTTCTCATGCCATATGGGCCAGCTGAGGCCAGATCCCACAGTCTGCAAGGAGACTCCATGGTTCTTGGACACGCATGTGTTGGTCCCTGTGGTGAAGGGACCACTTCCCCAGTGGGAGCCGTGGAGGCCCCCTGCTCTCTGTGTCCATGGGTTACTTTGGCAGTGGTTCCTGAGCACTGGCCTAGGGACTGGTCATTCAGAGAGAACTGTGGCAGCCCAGCCCCATCCCTAGTAAGAGAGATGCAGCCCACAGGGAGGGAGACATCACACACACATCCGTTCAGTTGCAGGGAGCCAAATCTCTGACAGATGGAGGCCCAAGGGGATGGGGAGGCTCAGAGGAGGCCCGGGTTCCTTCCTGGAGGAAGTGGCAGGCAGAGGAGGACTAACCGGGGCAGAAGGGGACAGGACGTGTCCCAGGCAGCCCAACAGCTGGAGTGGGAACAGGAAGCTCCGTGCCTGTGGTGTGGGGGGTAAAGAGGCACAGAATTTCGGTTTTGCCAGAGTGAGAAAGTAAGAAGGGAAGGGGCAGAAGGGGAGGAAGAGAGGCGAGGAGGTTGGCGTCCTGTCTATAGCAGGGAGCTTATAGAAGTTTCCATGCCAGGCAGAGACAGGGGCAGCTTTCCCTGAACCATCTCCCAACCCCAAGCCTTTGGCCACCTGAGCACCCAGCGGAGGCCCCTCTGTGTGCCCCTCAGGCTGCACATGAGTGCCCTGCACCCGCCTCTCAGCACTTTGCACCCTCCCCTCCCTGCTCCACCCTACCTGCTCGATAACAAAAGGCACTTTCTCCTTCCTCCCATGACCCACTTTCCAGGGCCAAAGCAGGCTGCTGACTTGATAACCTCGACCACAGGTACCCTGCCCACAATAACGTGTTTGCTCACACCCGGATTCCAAGACGGCAGGGCCCGATAACTGGAGTGATCTACACCACAGTGCCTCAGATGGGAAAGGAAAGGGGCCTTCCTCAGGGTCCCTCAGGTCCCACCAGGCCTGGTAGTCAGGTTTCTAGACTGAGTCTCCTATCGCTAAAGGTAATCAAGGATCGACTGTGGAAAGATAGAGATGGTCAGGGAGAATCGGGACCAGTCAACCTCCAGTCTCCAACCTCATAGGGTCTCATGCCTGAATTCTGTGCCTACCTCCTTGTTTATTCACTGCCAATCAGTCTGTAAACATTTGCTGAGTGCCCCTGGGTGCCAGGCAAAGACGGGGCTGGCTTCCATTCCCAGCTCTGTCTCTCGCCAGCTGTGCAACCTGGGAAACATAGCTTGTCTCTGTGCCTCACCTACAAAGTGAGAATTCAGTTACTGTGAGAGTCAGAGATAAGGTACACAAAGCTCCTTGTATACTGGAAGTGCTCAATAAATGCTAGCTGTCGTCATTCCTTCAGACATGAAGAGGTCTGAGAGCTCTGGAAAGTTCTGACATTATAGGGTATCTCTGCTGGCATCCCACGGCCCAGGAGGCCCTGGTATTAGCAACTTGCTCCTTTGCAGGGAGACAGCTGGTCCCATTGAAAATGTAGACACCTTTGCGACCACACGTTCACCTGCACGCCCGTCTCACACTCAGCCCCCATGTCCTTATTACAGCAGTAGCTTTGAGGGGGCTATTATCCTCCCCAATTGTATAGACACAGAGGTAGTGTGTCCAGGGCCACCCAGAAAGTATGGAGCTGCAAAAAGTATGAAGTCCAAGCCTCTCGATTCCACAGACGTGGTGCCTGGGCCATTTCTAGACACATCCGTGCATCCCAAGCTGCTGCTTCTGGAGTGTCCTTCCTGGCTGTTCAAGCTCCAGCATTTCCTGCAGGCCCCAGTTCACAGGACCCTGTCTGAGAGGGCTTCCCATGGGCCCTGGCAGAGTTTTAGGTTTCCCCTCAGCTCCCGCAGACCTTGCACATGGCTCTATTACGGCCTTTTGGAAAACTACCGTTATTACCTGTTTATGTCTCCATTCCATTCCCCTTACCTGGAGCTGCCCAAAGTCCAAGACCTCGGCTTGAGAGGCAAGTCTGTTATCTCCCAGACCTTATCACGCTCTGCCCTGGGTCACAGTCGTTTAGGTTTCTGCCTCATCTCCCTAGCGGGCTGTCCTCACTTCAAAACATTTTAAAAACCATTTCTCTTTCTATTAGCCAGAATTTCCCTAGCCACAACTAGGTTGAGGCTGACAGTTTCCAAACCACAGGTTGGGGGCATAGGCAAGAGGGGAACATGCTGAGGGAGAGGGGCAGGGGATTTCCATAGCCTGGGAAAGTTGGGGAGAGTGAGGAGAGAAGAGAAGAGGAAGAAGGAGGAGGAGGAGGAAGGAGGAAAAGAGAGAAAGGAAGAGGAAGAGGGAGAGAGGAGAAAGAGCAGCAGAAGAAGAGCAGAAAGGAAGGAGGAAGCTTAATGTGTATAAAATGCACAGTGAAAACAGGGTTGACTGAGGTTCAAATGTGCCTTCCTGGGCAGCTCTTTCTCCAGCTCAGCTCTGGCTTCCCAGGGCCTTGTTTCTAGGTGCCCCTGTTCCAGGCCCACAGAGAGGCTCTTGTGTGGCTGATGCAGGTTGGCCATGAAGAAGCTATTTCCAGCAGGCTCTTTACTGGTGGAAACCTGCACCTGCCTAGGATCTGGTACCACACGTGATGGGCAGCCCAGCTGTGGGCCAGATCAGATTCTGAGGCTGGCTTTGGCACCAGCTGGCTGTGTGACTGTGAGCAGGCTACTAGGACCTTTGAGCCCCTATTTCTCCCACCCTGAAACAGGACTAGTAATTCCCAAGCCAGAGGGACCTCATCAGGGTTAAATGAGATGATGGAAGCAGGGTTTGGGGCACAAGGTGGGAGGGTGTTAGGACAACGGTAGCTCTCTTCCTGCGAGCAGCATGCTGACAGCTCAGAGGTGTGTGGATGCAGCCCGGACGTGCAGCTCCTCTTGCCAGGACTTGCGCAACTGATGGGATTTGTTGGGTGATCCAGTGATCTGTGGAGCAGGGAGGAGCTCTGGTGGTGGGGAGTGTGGAGGAGAAATCCACAAACCAGGGAGCCTAAAACTGCACGGCAGAAAGTTCCGAGCATCAGAGATGATGTGGCTAGTGCCACAGTCTGAGAAGTTCTTATTTTGAATCCAGAGTCTTTGGGGGAAAAGAATCATAGGTATGTGTTTCTAAGGTCTCTTTCTATTGCAAATGTCAGAAACTCAACTCAAATGGACTTAAGACATGAGGAAAATACTCTGGCTCATGTGGCCCAAAATTCTGAAGGGCTGCGAGTTTTAGGCAGGGCTGAATTCAGATATTTAGACATTGTCATCAGAATAGCATGTGAGTGTGTGTGCACATGTGTGCACGTGCATATGTGTGTGTGTGCGTGCATGTGTGTGCCTGTGTGTGCACACATGTGCTCATGCATGTAGCCATGTCTATGGGCCATGGCTCTACTCTCTTTTATGTTGTCTTCAATGTCAGACAGACTTCCCAAGCAATAATTAAGGTTTGGTCCTACAGCAGCTTCAGGCTTGTACCCTACCCATTTACCACTTACTATAGAGTTTCAGCAAAAGCCCTTGGGGCAGCTCTCACTGGACTGGTTTGGGTCATGGTCCAATTAGAGTCAGTCACGATGACCAGGGGATGGAATGTTCCCAATGGCCAGATGCACTCATTGGCTGAATAATGTCTATACACCATCCCCTTCCCCTATGTCCACATCCTAATCCCTGAAACCTGGGAATGTGTTACCTTCTGTGGCAAAAGAGTCTTTACAGATAGATTTAAATTGAAGATCCTGAGATGGGGACGTTCTCCTCAGCTGTCTGGGTGGCCCTGGTATAATCACAATAGTCCTTATCAGGGGAAGTTGAGAGAGAAGAGGTGGCCTTGGAAGCATAGTTGGAGCCATGGTTTGAAGATGGAGGAAACGGCTCTAGCAAGGAATGCAAGCAGCCTCTAGAAGCTGGGAAAGGCGAATAAATGATTCTCTCCTAGAACTTCCAAGAGGGAGCTGGCCTTTCTGACACCTCTTGATCCAGCAAAACCCATTTCAAACTTCTGAAGTCTGGAGCTGTAAGAAAATACACTGTTGGCACACCTGTAGTCCCAGCTACTCAGGAGGCTGAGACAGGAGAATCACTTGAGCCTGGGAGGTGGAGGTTGCAGTGAGCCGAGATCATGCCACTGCACTCCAGCCTGGGTGACAGAGCAAGACTCGTCTTGGAAAAAAAAAAAAAAAAGAAAAGAAAAGAAAAGAAAATATGCTGGTGGTATAGGAAGCCGCTAATTTTGTGGCAATTTTTTGCTGCAGCTGTGGGAAGCTCATGCAGCAGGCTGGTTCACATGTGCATCTCTGGAGATGGGGCTGGGGGACATAGAGAGTCCCCCAAACTAGATGGACTGAGTGTGAAGGAGGGGCAGGACCCAAAGGCAAACAAAGCCCCTTTACTAAAGAAAGAGGGTGTGGGAGATGGGCTGGTGAAAAAGAAGGCAGAAGACACAAAAGACGCACAGGCATTGTGGGATTCCTTTCGTAGGAAGTTCAAGATCAGGCCAAACAAGCTCATGGAAGGACAGGCTGGGGTTGCTTCTCAGAGAAGGGCTGTATATTGACCAGGAAGGGGCACCAGGAGTCTGCGAAGCTGGGGAACGTTCTCTGTCCTGATTTCAGTGGTGGCTTCCTGATGCATACATATCTAAAAAATTCTCACAGGTCCACTTAAGATGTACACACTGCGTTTTTCTCTCTGGCTGAGTCATTCCTCAATTAAACAGCAATAACAGGGATAATTCATGGCACCAAAACTCTGCCATTTGAACCCAATTAGCTGTCTTCTCTGTGCCCTAATAATATTCATTCATCTCAATCTTCACTCATTTGACAGAGGAGGAAACCAAGGCCCATGTGGTGAGGTGCAGAGCACAGGCGGAGTCATGTAGCCAGACCCAAGCCTGTCTACTTTGCCCTTCCTCAGCTCTGATGCTTTGAGCTGGCCCAGTGTCCTGCTCTGCAGTCAGGGGTGGGTCCCTCACCAGCACTGCCCCACCTGACGTCACAGTTACTCTTTGGGGCCTCCTGGGGAGAAAACATGAGTCTCTTCTCTTTTTCAGTGCTTTTGGGCTGCTGGAAGCTTCCGCTCCCTCACTCACCTCTGCTGTCACTCACCTGCTCTCACTCACCTTCTGCTCTCACCCACCTCCTTGGGATCTGGTGCCCAGCTGGGGTCTCACAGCAACCCTTGTTACTGCCCCTATGGAAACACAAGACCTCCTGGGGCAGCGAGGTGAGGTTGTACCTACTCTCAGCATGCCTTTTGCCATTCACTCCCTTTTATTCATTCAACAAACATTTCCTGAGGGCTCAGGAATTGGGGATACAGCTGCAAATGGGGCCTCAAGGCCCCTGCCCTCAGGCAGCTGACAGTCCTGATGGGAGACACACAGTAGCCAGGTATGAGACCATATGACTCCATAGATTACCCAGGCACCTGCCATGTAAGGGGGAAGCCAGATCACCTGGGCACCCAGGAAGCCCCTGCTGCTCACAGCCATCCTCTCCTCTCACCTTCAGCACACACTTTGGCTTAAGAGGGAGAAGCAAACTAAGCCGGGGGTATTAAATGAGGTCCCAAGTCCTCCAGCGTCCACATCCTCTGAATGGCAAAGCCAGGCTTCTCCCCAGCGGGAATCTGGTGCCCTCCCTGCCCCAGGCTGGCCTGCTGCAGTCATCAGCCTCCTCTGAGCCTCAGCTTCTGACTTCACGGAGGCCCTGCCATCTGTACAGCACATGTCCTCAGGTCCAGAAGAGACTGGGCAGAGCAGGTGTTCACATCTATTTTTCAGACCTGCAAGCTGTGGCTCAGAGAGCAAAGAGTCCCACCCAGGGTTACTGCTGCTGGTGGCAGGGCCTGGCACTTAACATCCATGCACCTTGGGGTAGAATTATAGGCTTGTCTCCTCCACTGACCTGGGCTCCAGGAGGGCTGGGGCAGGGTCTGGGTTCAACTCCTAAACCCCAAGTGGGCCTTTTGCTGGGGCCTGGGAAACCAGGGTCTTTTCCCCGCTGGGGCTTACCCAGGCCATGGGTGCTTTTCACTGCCTGGCACAATCCCAAGGCCACTGCTCCAGGCTGGAGAAGAGGAGGGCAGTGGGAAGGCTGAAGGCAAGGGAGGGCTGAGGCTGGAAGCCACCTCCCATCTCCCTCCCACATGGAGACGTGCAGCGCCTCATGCCCCTCCCAGGAATCCCTCAAGGCCCAGAGATGACTCAGCAACACGTGAGCTAAGCTGTCCGGACTGTGCCCCGCCTCTTGCCAGACGCAGAGCCCAGTGGGTGGAGGGAACGTGCCACCTGCCACGTGCACCCCTGCAGCAGCTCAGCCAGCAACAGCAGAGCCGCCCCTGCTTCTCCCTCCCAATCTCTCTCCTCTTCTTTGTGGGGACCTCACATGTTCCCCCTGCCTCCATTCAACCCTCACCTCGCTCTGCAGGCATTAAATGCAGGACTGGTGGTTTGCTGTGCTGACGGTGCCACAAAAGCTACCTCCTGCAGTCCTCTCTGCAATCCTGCCAGGCCAAGTGGGGAAACCGAGGCTCAGAGACGGTTTGTGACTTATGCAAGGAACCGAGATTCAAACCTAGCTCAGCCTAACCCCGAAGACTGTGCGATTTCTCTCTCATGAGCCATGCTGAGTGAGATCATTGACAAACTCTACCGCCTTTTGCCCATTTTACAGAAGGGGAGGGAAGACTGAGGCACAGGGAAGGAGGTGACTGGTGGGGGAGAGAGACCAGCATAATGTTGTCCTAGGGCAGCACGGTGGCTCTCTGTGTCCCCAGGGCACTGTGGCTGACACTGGGATGGACTCCCTGCCCTAGGAATGTGTGGTGAATGAATGAGTAGGTGCTGAGTGTGCTCTTTCAATGTGATGGTCACAGGCCACATGCGGCTATGGGGCACTTGACATGTGACAAAGAAACTGAGTATCTCATTTGGTTTAATTTTAATTTAAATGTAACATATCAATACTGTCTACAGCCGATATATTTCAAGACACACAGCATCATTTGCACCATGCTTTAGCACTTGTAGAGCAGTTTATAGCCTCCATCTGCTCTTTCGATTCTCAAAACTCACCAAGATCCACATCTCCACTTTCCAGAAGAACCTGAACTTCAGAGAGGTCAAGAGACTTGCCCAAGAACGCACAGCCCGGAAGGGGCAACGCCAGAGAGCCTGGTCACCCTGACTGTCTGCGACATCCCTTTCCACTTTGTGCTTCAGTCACAGTCGCAAGTGCTTACATGGCAGGTCCACCCCCCAGTGCTGTGCCTACATTACCTCAATGATTCCATCCACTTCCCTAGGGGAAAAGGACACCAGTGTTAAAGTTCTAAGATGAGGGGACACAGACAAGCTGAATTCCTTGCCCACTGCTGCCTGGTTAGAAATCAGCAGAGCTGGGGTTTGCATTTGAGGGTCTGGGACTGGACTCTGACCTTTGTTACTACGTGAGTGGCCTTTGAGTGGTGTGTGGGGCGTGCAGAGTCAGCAACGCTCCTGTCACTGAGCGCCTTGGGTGATGCCTGAGTCTCTGAGCACTGGGAAGCCACTGGGAGGTGTTGAACTGGGACCATGGGAGCTTTAGGAGAGGGCTCTGCTGAGGCCTGGGGAGGGACAGCTGGGGTGAGCTCAGGACGGGGGCGTGCAGTAGGAGACTGCTTCATAGCCAGGCACTGGTCACAGAGAGGGAAAAACAGAATGACTAGTTAGAGGACTTGGCTGCAAAGTCAGGCTGTGCAAAGATGCTGCCCCGGCACAGGTAGGGGAAGGGATACAGCCCAGAATTCTCAGGCGGCAGCCGCACTGCCAGGTGGAGGAACAAGAAGGCCCATGCAGAACATTGCTGGAGGCAAAGGTGCATGATGAGGAGCAGGCGGGGTCTGTGGGAGGAGTCCCCTGTGGTGCCACAGGCTGCTGCCCAGGGCCGGTGACCCAACAGCAGGACACAGAGACTGCAGACAGGAGGCTCCAGGGCACAGGGTTTTCACATGGCTCTGCCCTTGGTGGCCCGAGGCCCCCTGTTTAACTCCAAGCCGCAGCTGCAGCCTCCCAGCCAACCAAGGACACCAAACATACCTTGTCGCAGGTTTCAACCAGACACACCAACGGTGACAGGGAAGATGCCTCCGCCTGCATCTTCCATCTGCTCATGACTCTGTGAACACTTGCTTTGAGAAGGACAAAAACCCTAAAGGGAAAACAAACAAAAAGTGTCAGGTGATTCTGCTTATAAAAAACCGACATACGATTAACTTTGAAGAAGACTTAAAAGCAGCTTTATTGGATAACGGTATATAAAAAAAACTTATTTAAAGGAACTACTTATTTAAAATTGCAAACCTCCCACACACCTCATGCCCTGTTCTTCTCTCCCATTTCTCTTCCTTTGTGGCACTGATCAGGGTTTCATATGCGGCTTTATGTAAGACACAAATTTATTCTGCTTAAAGGCTATCTTCTTCCATTGGAAACTAAGTTCCACGAGAGAAGGAATGTTTTGGACTTTCTTGTTCACCATTGAACCTTTGGAGCCTAGAATTGTGCCTGGCATATAGCAGGTGCTCCATACGTTTCTGTTCAAAGAATGAATGAAAGGGTGGCAACAAGAAAGCAACGATGCAACGTAATAACGTGGCACCCATGGAAGGAGGTGAGGAAGCATCTGTGAGGCCAGTCAATCACCGGGTGTCGTGCATCTGACATGCATTCAGGGCTACTAGGGACCAGGCCCTGGGCTAGGGCTTTACAGAGGTGTCAGGCGAGGAGAACATTGTCTGCTAAGTCACAATATCTGGCTAGCGCAGCTGAGGTCTCAGGTGAGGCACATTAAGCTCAGCTCAAGGCCATGAGCAAGGTGATGAGCAGGTTTGCCTGCTGCAGGCCGGTCTAGCCCGGCTTTTGGCAGAAATAGCAGGGAGAACTGCCCCAAGCAGGGAGGGGAGGGGCTTCCTGGCCTATTTTTTGTGCTGGCCATTCCTGTCTGCTTCTCCTCCACCCCACCTAGCTTCCCCTTTCATCCTGCAGACAGTCATCAGTCATTTGAAGCTGGGCTTGTCATTGCAAAGAATCTGGAAGCATTTCTAGGAGTTAGAGCTGAGAAGAAAGTGATGAGATGCAAGAGGCAAGACAATGCCAGGCTGGTCGTGGTGGACGCAGAGCCCTAGAAGGGGCAGCTTGTGCCACAGAGGGGCCAGCAGAGCCCTACCTCCTCTATGAGTGAGCTCCTGTGTAAAACAAGTGCTGCACGTTCTAGAGTCAGACAGGGCCACATTCAAATCTACCAGTGGCCCTTCCGAGCTGTGTGACCTTGAGCTAGGTACTTTTCCTCTCTAGACTCTGGTTTTCCACACCTATGCATGCATGCACATGTGCCCACACATACATACGTGTGCGTGCACACACACACACACACGAGAGTAGTATATGTTTGCCTCACAGGGTCAATGTAAACATTATTAAATGGCATACATATAAAGCTTCCCTTTCCGGGCTTTGAGCTCAACTTTTAAATACTTTTTAAAAAGATTAATAATCAATAATCAAGTGATGCACACATATTGCAAAACAATTATTAAAATGAGATAATCAAGAAGAAGAACTTTAAAATCACCTATCATTATAAGAATGAGAAGAAAAGCCACAGGCTGGGAGAAAATATTTACAAAAGACATGTCTGATAAAGGACTGTTATCCAAAATATACAAAGAACTCTTAACATTTAATAAAGAAACAACACAATTTTTTTTTAATGGGCAAAAAGCCTGAACAAATACCTCATCAAAGGAGACACACAGATGGCAAATAAGCATATAAAAAGTGCTCAACATCATAAGTCATTAGAGACTTGCAAACTAAAGTCTAATGAGATGTCACTATTAGAATGGCCAAAATCCAAAACACTGGCAACACCAGATTCTGGAGAGGATGTGTGGAGCAAAAGGAACTCTCATTTGTTGCTGGTGTATTAGTCTGTTCTCACACTATAAAGAATACCACCTGAGGTTGGGCACAGTGGCTCACACCTGTAATCCCACCACACTGGGAGGCCAAGGCAGGTGGATCACTTGACGTCAGGTGTTCTAAACCAGCCTGGCCAACATAGTGAAACCCTGTCTCTACTAAAAATACAAAAAATTAGCTGAGCGTGATGGCAGGTGCTTGTAAGCCCAGCTAATTGGGAGGCTGAGGCAGAATTGCTGGAACCTGGGAGGCGGAGGTTGCAGTGAGCAGGGATCATGCCACTGCACTCTAACCTGGGCAACAGAGTGAAACTCTGTCTCAGATAAATAAATAAATAAATAGATGGATAGAATACCACCTGAGACTGGGTAATTATAAAGGAAAGAGGTTTAATTGACTCACAGTTCTGCAGGTTTGCCAGAAGTGTGGCTAGGAGGCCTCAGAAAACTTACTATCATGGTGGAAGGCGAAGGGAAAGCAAGCACTTTTTCACAAGGCTGCAGGAGGGAGTATGTGGGAGAATGAGGAAGTGCCACACTTTAAAACCGCCAGATCTCGTGAGAATTCACTTATCATCACGAGAACAGCGTGGGGTAAACTGCCACCATGATCCAATCACCTCCCACCCATTCCCTCCCCTGACACGTGGGGATTACAACTGAAGAGGAGACTCGGGTAGGGACACAGAGCCAAACCATATCAGTTGGTAAGAATGCAAAATAGTACAGCTATGTTGGAAGACAGTGTGGCAGTTTCTTACAAAACTGGACGTGGTTTTACCATATGATATGGTTTGGATCTGTGTCCCTACCCAAATCTCATGTTGAAATGTAACCCCAATGCTGGGGCCAGGTGGGAGGTGACTGGATCATGGAGGCAATTTCTTGTGGTTTAACACCATCCCCCTTTGGTGCTGTTGTCGCGATAGTGAGTTCTCATGAGATCTGATTGTTTAAAACAGTTTGGCACTTCCCTTCCTCTTGCTCTGGCCATGTGAAATGCTGGCTCTCCCTTTGCCAGCAAAGGTGAGTAAAAGTTTCCTGCGGTCTCCCCAGCAGAAGCCGCTGTGATTCCTGAACAGCCTGCAGAACTGTGAGCCAATTAAACCTTTTTTCTTTTTATTAACAGATTACCCAATCTTAGGTATTGATAGCAGTGCGAAAATGAACTAATACCCCACACTACCCAGAAATTGTGCTCCTTGGTGTTT